TACATTTTACTGTAGCAGTAGCGGTAGCGCCCGCTACAATCTAGTGAGTGTAGCGGTAGGGCCCGCTACATTTAGAGCATGTAGCGGTAGCGGTAGCGGCGCTGCATTTCAAAGTAGCGCTGCCCAGCTCTGCTAATATCCTACCGCCAGATATACTAGCAAACCAGGAATTTCCATAAACAAAAGCTACCAAACCATGCATCATTCTGACATTTCTTCAGGTTTAAAGAAAACCTACTTCGTTGATAATTTATTTATCAAATTTAACATATTTTTTATGTTTTTCGGTAATAGTCACTAAAATATCAATGAATTAGCAGGGCTAACTGAAAAACTTTCCAATAGGCGCGTCATTTCATGGAGTTACATAGAAGATGCAATAGGCGCATCATTTTATTGAGTTATATTTAATTAAGTGTAGAAACTAATTTGCAACGCAATGCCTTAATCATATATTGCATGCAGCAGCGAACCTGAAACTGGTCAGACTTCTCTCACTCCTCGCCTGCTGCGGACGTAAGAGCTTACGTAAAGACTGTATGGCAACAGCCACTCTCTAGCTGGCAGACCGGTTTCATTTTCGTTTTAGCAGACCAGTTTCTGGAGCCGCACTGGCCCCCAGAGCCAAGCCTTTGAGCTCGCCCAATGACAGCGGCCATTATGGTGAAAATACTGCTGAGATTTGTTACAGTCCGTGTCCGAAGGTTGTATAAAATGATTTATGTGAATTTTTACATACATAGTTGGTTACCCGGCTGGAAATCTATTCAAATTTTATCTTGTTAACTTATTTATGTAACGCATTAGCGATCTGCAAGTTTTCAATAAATTTATTTAAAACTTAGCAGGACATAATAATCTTAAATGAAGCCACGAAATTAATTAGACACATGAACTTCCTAAGTTACTAAGTTAGTTACGAGTCACTTAATAATTATCACTTCGGCTGGAAATGACACTCGTGAAAAACTTATTTTCGTGCAAATAAAGCTAGGTATTGGTGATCCTGGTCCTACTCCAGATGCTCTTGTTTCAAGTCCATTATTTTATGAGTCCACAAAACTAATTTCTATTGGCCAACAGTATTTTAGATTCAGATGTACAATCGATTGTCAAAGTTGAATCTAAACACACTTTAAAATGAAAATATAAAGAAATCTTTAACCATGTGAATTGAATCTGTCAATCAAAGTAACGGAAATTTTTCTGAAGGTCACCTCAGAGAAAAGCAAGAATGGGATAGCGGCCCGGCCAATTTAAGTATAGTTTTTTGCAGCGTTTTTACTTGCCTCATAAATTGCGTGGGCTAAGGACGCCCAGTGGTATATCGTCCACTCTCGGCACACAAGCGCACGCAATGAAGTTACAGTTAAATGATTACACAGCAGGTACCGACCAAAGCCGCTGTTTCGCTATTACCTGAATACTCTCAATCAAAGGCAACCTTGTCTTCAAAGTCACTCTCGCTCGATCATATAACTTAGGACTAGGTATAACGTAAGATAAAACCATTTTAAATTAAATTCATGATTACGCTTTTTGTGAAGGGTATAATTAAATGTTTTTAGACCGTTTTGAGTTCACTATTTTTCTAAGTAGAGAAAATCAGAGATTGAGCTTACATTATTAATTGGAGGGACTGTGGATTAATCTTTCTAAACAGAGTTAGTTAACACTTCTGTAGGTAGGGGCATCCGAGTGTGCACTTCTAGGTTGAACGAATCCAAGTTTACCTTTCTAGGTAGAAGGCATCCAAGTTTATATTTTTAAATAGATGGCATCCGAATATACTTCTCTAGGTAGAGGGCCTCCTAGCTAACCTTTCTGGGTAGAGGGAATCCGAGCTCAGGTAGAGAGCAATTATTGAAGTAGAGGTCAATCCGAGGTAGAGGGCAATTGAGTTTACCTTTCTATAGGTAGAGGACATCCTATTTACTTTTTTGGTTAGAGAACATCCAATTTTACATTTTTAGGTAGATATGGCATCCGATTATACCTATCTAGGAAGATGGCATCCGAGTATATTTTTCTAGATAGAAGGCATCTAAGCCTACCTATCTAGGCAGAGGGGGGTCCGAGTTGAAATTCCTATAGGCAGAGTGGATGAGTTTAAACATGAAGAGCAGATTATTTGTTTTCTGGACGGTCAGAGAACGATTGAGTGTCAACTCCAGCAGTGTTATTATCAAAGAAATAGTTCAGTGACTGCTGGACGGTGTGTCTCGGTTTAACAGGTTCCTTAATTACAGTCTTCCATTCAGTGTGGCCACACATTTGATGGTTGAGATACAGAGAAATTTGCGAGAAATAAAATTAGGTTTAGCCAGAGTTTTCTGGGAAAAGGAAAAGTTTGCGGCAGTGAAAAGGCCCCATTTCACTGTGACAGACCGCAAAAAATTTCAAATGTTTGATTCCAGCTTAATTCTATGATTTAAACCAATGAATTTTATTAATTTGGACATACACTTAGTACAATATTGACCAACAATATTTTCTATTTTCCAAGATTTTCTAATTATCGAACAATGTGCAAGAAAGGTTAATTTATGTTTTTTCCTCATGGTTCATGAAAATTCCTCTTAATTGTTTTAAATGCTACTACTGATACCCAGGTACTCAAAATATTCACCTCCGTAAGGACAAGTGAACTTTTTCCTGACAACTTACCTTCTCCTAGTAACCGGTCTCCACCGATATTACGACATAAGATGCACAAATCCTAGTTTTCGCGGCATCAAGTCTTCGCTACTCATACTAGGAGACTTTTTAACAACGAATGATTCTCCAAGTTTGGTTGAGCAACACTATCATAAAATGCATGATGCACCACTATCATAGATCTACTATTATATGTCCATGCAGTAATACTCGCGCGTCAATCCTTATGCGGATTGTCTGCTTCAGTGAACCTCGCAACACGCAACATCTACCAACAGCTTTGAAAAGACCACGCAGAAAATCTATGGTTAGACTGGCTATGGGCCTCTTTACCTTGGGATGTCAACGCTGATATATATATATATATATGTGTGTGAAACGAATGAATGAATGATATATATTTATATATGAGTGATGATATTAGCATTGACATAAGTACAAAATCAAGTAAATAGGATACTACTCAAAAATCAAAATTGTTAGGAATAATTACAAAATCACAAAATAATTTAGAATCAAAGCACCGAAAATTACTCCGAAAACAGTCTCAAGGTTCTGACAAATCCAGTTGTTTGAAGGTTGATGGCCGGGGTCCTATCCTTAATGATGAGGGCCTCAGCTATCATGAGTCGGTTGGCGTCGGGACATCTCATGACGACGCTGATGCACTCCTCCAGTACCGTACGAGTGATGGTCTCGTTGTGAGCTTCCATCAGGTGGTTCTTTGGTCCACCAGACTGAAGGTGGCACGTGAGACGTCGGCTTAATGTCGTAGTTGTGAGCCCGATATAGTCCATATTGGGGAGAAGTCTACAACCTTCTCTATTGCAAGAAAATTTATAGACTACATTGGTCTCTTGGAAAAGCCCATCTCGGTCATGACACAGCGGAAATAGTCGACCTCGGTCTTGATCTCGTCGGCGATGAACTTGACGCGAGACTCGGGATAGCGCGGGGCTGCTCGCTTCTCTGAAGTAACGCGAGACGAGGGATAGCGCGCAGCTGATCGCTTCTGTAAAGTTAAGCGACATTTAGCATGGCTTAGCTTTTGTAGGCGCGATCAAATACACTCAGCATCTACATGCATAAAAACCAAATGATTAAGAAATCTAAGCACAGGTAATCGGTTATGCACATTATCAATTAAGCCCACTAAGTCGCGCTTGCGGTATGTTATAGGGGTTGAAATTTCAGACATGCGTTGATTAAAATTCATTCACGTGGCATATGACGGGTGGAAATGAGCAAATTTTTTTACTAAAAATGACGCATTGCGTGAGATATGGTCTGATTGATTTGCAATATGAGTCTAGATGCACAAACCGTCTTTGTAAAATTCATCATGTTCTGCATCACTATCGAAGTAAATTCGATGCACAGCCTTTAATTCTAAATGATTGAATGCGATATCAGTCATTCACGTCATACATATTGGCCACAAATCTGCATCTCTAAATAAATAATGTTTGGTAAAAATACGTACAACGCAATGAACTGTTAGAAATGATTGCCCAATCACTATGTATTTTTCAGAAGCTAAAACAAAATCCTAATCCAATTATTGGTTTGGACTCGTAGGTTTTTTAAGATGAGGTGAAAACATAGTAAGTGACTGCAGCAAATTTGCTGGCTAAACGTACCTTACGGAAGAGGCTGAAAAGTGTCTGAAAAAAAGAGTGAAAAATTGTAAATAAATCTTAAATAGCAAAATTTTTACGTTACTGAGTAAATTATGAAAATAACTGAATAAAATTATGGACATTCAAATATATTAAGTGACGATATTCATGCCACAATATCAATCATTCATATTTCTTATCTTACAAGTACGCAAGAGCATTAGCAACAATTTTATTTCTGTTCTATCAAATGAAATATAAATATTTTATTTTAAAAGGAAAATGTACCTGGATTCCGTTGTCGTTGGAGACCTGCGGTGCCCTGAACTTAGCGAAGCAGGTGGTAACGGCGCGGTCAACCTCTGCGTGGTACGCCATCGTTGCCTCGGTACCGAAGCACGCTTGTCGCACCTGCCAGGCAAGGACTTCATCATTCACAAGATTTACGTCATGTTTAATTGGAATCATTCCGAAGAGTTACGTCATGTTTCATTGGAATCATTCCGAAGAGTTACGTCATGTTTCATTGGAATCATTCCGAAGAGTTACGTCATGTTTCATTGGAATCATTCCGAAGAGTTATGTCGTGTTTCATTAATAGCTACCCGGCAATGAGTAATGCCCAATTCAATCTTTTCAAATTCAGGTACAGTTAAAACCATGCCTTGTTTCTCTAATGAGATTTTCGGCCACCTATAAAGTGCACATTCGTTTGAAATAGTAATATTCATGCAAGTGCTTTCCGCTCACTCAGAAGTCTATTGTCACAACGTCTTGATCTACTCATCACCTACATTACTAATTGTCTAATCTAATTGAAAAATTTTTCATTTGATACAGACTACCAAATTTAGGTTTTTAGTTAATAGCATCGGTATTCAATATAGATATGTACAGGATTGACAAAGGAAAAAAAGTTTAAAAGCAACTGTTTTCTGAAAAAATACAGCAGAAATGTTGACGAGCTGTCACAAAAGTTCAAATTACAATGAGTGGAAAAAACATTTCTTTAACAGTCTTAATTTCATCAGTTAATTATCCGCGGTCCAGGAAAATTCCCCGATCAAAATCTACTTGTGGCATCTTTTATCATCTTTACTGAATGAAATTTTAATGAGGCAAACAATGTTATAAATATATTTCGATAAATGCACGCCACCGGAGTGAAAGCATTACTGCCGGTAATTGCCGTGGCTCCCAACATCTTTTCCACGGAGGATGGTTGTCGGTATGATTTAAATATTATATAAGCCATAACCTAGCAGGATGCAAGCCAAGGTACTAATAACGAGCTTTTTTACAAGCTTTTTGCCTGACTAGACTCACTCCATGATCCACTTGCTTTCTGAGATGCTTTGAATATAAATACAAAACTTACGGGGTTACATGAAACTTGTTACCACAGTTATTTGTATATAATGGCATCGAGAAAATCTTGATACGAATAGTTATTTTTTACATCTCGTTATTTAGATTCGACCAGCGCTGGATATACGGCTCCAAAAACTTGTTTCTTGTGAAAAATTGTGAGCATGGTAATGAAATGACACCCAAGGAGGAGGTTGGCTTATGTCGCTCTGTCAACGGTGGAAATTTAGGCGCCTATAACGGCTAGTTGTAGCATAACGTCTATTGATTAAAAGCCTCAAACTAGTACTGACCAAATTCGATTAAAAAGCTTCGATTTGTTACTGACCTTGACGTTGCCGAACTTGTTGAGGTACTCGAACTCGAGGTTGAGCTGCACCTGCGCGGCCGCGAGGCCCAGGAGGGCAAGAAGCGCAACACACGTTCCCTGCATGCTTGGGGGGAAGAAAACGTTGTGCTTTTAGAAGACCAATCACTGCCTAAATGAAACGGGAAAACAAGTTGAAAAATTAATGCCTCTCTTTGTGAGAACGTGTTCAGGTCATGAATCGAAAGCGAAAGATGTGCCGTGCTTAGATGAATTGTTATCAGTAACTGTTATTCTGCTAGCGACAAAACTTGAAGCAAAAAGTTCGAGGTAAAAAAAACGTAACACAAAAATTGCTCAATTGCGATCCGAACAATATTTGGATTTAACCATTGAATAAGTGTACCTGTAGTTCTTAGTTTCTAGGTAACTAAGAAATGAAAGCTGCTGTGTGACACTCACCTGACGAGTGAAGACGGAGCTGTGGTGGCACTCACTGATTCCCAGCACTTATATAGTCTTCCCTCAAGTCCCTCCTACCATGTGACCTTCTTCATTATTGGTCAGCGGCTACATTCTAGAAACAAACCTCATTGGTCAGAAATTACAGAATGCTTATTGGTCAAATCAGACCTTCGGCAGATTCTAACAAAATAATCGATGCAAAAAAACAATCGAAAATTTTTAATTCCAAGGTTAATCCCTTCAATTGCCAGCATTGAAGATTCGACGATACAGTCAGACTTGATATAATTTAGTATCTCTCAAAGTTCGTGTATGTAAAACAAAACATCGTAAAAAAACTCCGAAGACAAAAAAAGCTCACTAATATGCCTATTATGTATGTATATCCTCATCCTTTTTGTGTTGGGTAATATTATGGGATCTGTAATTTTATGTTCAGCGCTAGAATCTAGTAGCCTCGCCTAACGATGGGAATAGAGAAAACTTAAAATGTAAATGTTCGTTTTTTTTTATTTCAAATATATTTTCAATTAGAAAATTAATTTGAACACTTTAATCATAAATATTTCGAAAAAAAGCGTTAGTACTGTGAATGTGCTATGCGCAGCTCTAAGCTATACGTGGGCTTTGACGTTTTTTTATTACATTATCTTAGTTTGAAATTAGCATTGGGATTCAGAATTACAGAGAGATTTTATGCAACGATAATAAAGACAGCTCAAATCGCAGCGGTCATCTAACCCCGGGCAGGGTCAGAAGAAGCAGCAATAACTAATAAAGCATAGGAACTGCATAATTTTTTATCAGTCTGCAAAAATGCATAAAACTTGATAGACCGCAAATACCTTGATAAAAAACATGTAGCGACTCTAGGTGACTCGATAATTTAATTCAATGTATTTGGGCTGGAATTTATGGCAACAAATTCAATTGAACTGAAAATATTAGTGATGATAAAATCCAGGAGAGAGTTTTATTAAATCTAAAGTTAATATAGCAACAATATTGCGGTCATCTACTGAAGTTCGCGGGTAACGGAAAGTTAACTTGCCTTGCCCGATTCACATAAATGATTTGGATAATGCCAAGCTTAATTGAAAATTTATAATCTAGTTAAGGACTATTAATCTACGCTGACATTTTTTGGCAAGAATCAGCCGCTTACAGTACATAGATTGTGAGGTCAGTACATAGATTGCGAGGTCAGTACATAGATTGTGAGGTCAGTACATAGATTGTGAGGTTAGTACATGGATAGCATTTTAAGACTGAACATATGCTCCTGCATAGCTTCGTCTAGTCTGTTTTGAAGAAGCCCTGAAAATGCTGGACAAAAACTCAAACAATCCAATATGTCCTACCCGAACGCCTACCATCAAACCAAAAGGAGTAGAAACAATTAAAAACAAAAGTTATATCACGGCTCCTTTTTAGGAGCCAGAAAAATTTAAGATATATATTCAAGTTTCATTTATGAACCTATGGTAGACATTTTCCATCTCCGTTTACTCAAAATCTTTCGGTAAATGTGGCATATAGCCTTCACAGAACTATTATTATATTAATATAGCCTAATTAGGACGTCTATCGTTCTTACATAAGGTTGATAAGCACGAGGCCTGAGAAGCGAGCCTCAGTGTGTTCTGGGTTACCATCGCGACTGGACCTGCTATAACACAGCCTGCTGGAATCCATTATTTCCTAAGGGGAGCGTCTACCCTAAAATTTTGGATTTTGGCTTCTCCGGTTTTCGGTCTCATCTTAAAGCTGATATTCTGACCTATCCAACGGTGCCAAAACCATCTCTGTACGTTGATTTATGCGTTCACGACAGATCATGAAAGGGAGGGGGGTGGGGAGTTCTTTAACAAATAGAATAGGAGGAAATTAGCAGCCGAGCACTTTAAATAGAGTGTCTGCTTCAGCTGCAGCTCAGTTACCCGCCTGGCTTCGTATGAGGAGGTGTGCATGCAGTCGTTCCCACCATCCTTGACTGGAATCAAACTGCAGTAACGTTTAGTTTTGTATCCTTGCTACATTGAGTGCCTATTGTGATGCGCGCGGGACTTTGTCGCGCTCTCCTGAACATTCACACTTATTGTCACGGCAAACCTATCTCCTCCTAGAGTTTTGAAGCTACAGCGATGCGACATATACCACGCGATTTGTAAATAAAATCTCTAGAAACCATCCGGTCATTTTTTTCGATTTCGTTATAGTTTGGATTATATTCTGCAAAAAGGGGGGGCAGAGGAGGGAAAATTAGAAATTTTTGGGAAATTTTGGAAAATCCCCCCCTCCTCCCGAGCAAGATGGAAAATCCCCCCCTCCTGTCTCGATGGTGTAGAACGATATTTGTAGGAGGAGATTTTTTTTCGAAAAATTGACACGAACAAAAAGTTCATAGATTTCTGTTTTACATATGTGTACCAAGTTTCAAAACGATCCGTTCGTAAATGAAAAAGTTTTCAGAAGAGGGAGACGGTCCCCCCTAAGATCCCTGCTAATAAAATCTCATTCTTTTGCTTCTGTCAATATAATAAGTCCAGTTGGGTATCGAGAGTGAGAAGTTTATCTAACGAAGAAAATAACGGCATCATTTCAAAACCTAAAGGTTTGAAAACTCAGACCTTAGGATATCTTGCCTAAGTATAAAAACCAAAAAATTATATATCCTGCTTTACTCCGTAGACTGGACTATGCTATTCTCACCTTTGCTGAGGTTAAACAGAGCCATTTTCTCTTTTTGGTTTCGTTAGAAAAAAAAAAAACAGAATAAAGCTCTTTTAATTTGAAATAAGTCGCCAATCCAAAAAATGAGGAGGAAAACCAACATCCTTGGTCAAAAAAGAGGAATAATAACCCTTTAAAAAGGACAATACCCATATCTGAAACGACCAACATTCCGCTCCCTAATTTTCTTACTAATCTCTCAAACAATTAGCTATCTTCAACGAAATCAATTTGCTATCAAAAGGCCCAAAATTCATTCCTACACCCAATAAACAGAGATCTTCTGACTTGATTAAGGCATTAAATGAGTTACGAAGGATTATGAACCTCCAATATTTCTTCAAAAGCAAAACCAAATATATAACACCTTTTCATACAAAATTCAATTGAAACCCTCCCCAGATTGAAAACATTTCTTTCCTAAATTATTACAAAAGAACCAAGTACAAGAGATGCGCTGCATCTCTTGTTTGAAGACAAGATCACAAAAATACGATAGCACAAAAAAAAAAAACTCCCAGCAACATCGGTCGATTGCTTCAAGCCCAGCATTGTCAGGACGAATCTAGCTGGCTTAGAGTAACCGGGTAGAACTTTTTTTGTTATTCTCGTAGCCCGGCAGCGGTAGAACAGGTTGTAGCCCAAGGATGGGTTGAGCAGCAACTCTAACCATGCCGTCATCGATGTCTTCTGTCACGACAGCTCCACATTTGCACAGTGCCACAGAGAGTCAAGCTTCTACACAGTTCTTCTGGCCATGTCATTTTCTAGAGACACAATTAAACGAACTTTATTTCATTAATTTTTTCTACAAATGGTAATAACATTACCGATTAATATTTTTCCTAAATCAGTATTCCTACCATGTTGTTCAATTAAGGCCCATAGCATTCTAACATTATTTGTGCTCTGTTCTTGGTTTTTCCTCCCAGAGCGAATATGTGATTTTTTATTTACTGATCTTATGATATTACCCGCTACATAATTATATAATAATTTTGAGGTGTTTGATTAGATAACGGCACTTATGGAGCTAAGCCCTTAAAATTATTCGCGTGAATTCCTGACTATTCATGTTAACCCTCAAGTTAATGTGAGAGCCTTTATAATATGAAAGGCTGATTCAAGACAGAAAGCGAGAAGTTTTAGAGTCACATTATATGACAGTTTTTTCCGAGGCAGTATAAATACTCATCTAATGACATGTGCCCGTAACAATTCTTTGCGGTGCGCTGTTTGGCATAATCGAAGTTACCGCGATTCTGGAACTTTATTTTAAATCCAATTATATGGCAATAAAGTGTTTGAGAAACTCTTCCACTATATTTAGCTTCTTCAATATTTCAATTTTAGTCAATAGCCATGGCATCTTCGCTTACATCTTTATCCTTGAAAATAAGTTTTATTTTCAAGTGAAAACTTTGGAGTAAAGCTTTCTATTTTACAAACACGCACCAAATTTTAGCTACTTATTCTTCTTGTGACTGTGTCAGCTCCCTGCCCAATTTATAATTAATCATTCTGATTGCAGTCCGCAAATGACTGGCACGAATTTCAAGTCCTATTATCTGAGAAAACTTCGCAGCTCATGAAGTCCCAAAAATCTTAACCAAATATTAATAACAAATCCCATTCTATTTTTCTCCCTTGGTTTCGCCATGCTTTCGCACACACACAGCAACATATTTTCCTGGATGAGTTTTATTTTCGTCTAGTAGAAATGCATGAATAATTATTAGTTTAATCCATGGAGACCGGTTGCAGACAACAAAAGTATGACCACAATGAACCGGCGATGCAGCGCCCTTGGAAACGGTGGCCCTTCCTCAAGGCCATCGATCATGAACTGAGCTGGTCTGTTTCAAATTGATACAACATTAAATTTTTAACTTTGAACCTGAATTTTTAATATTCTCAAGTTACCAGAGAAACTACATTCAAATTTGATGAGATTATCATAATCTAAGTTTGATGTCAGTTAGCAGTCGAATGACCTCTAGTGACCTCTGAAAATACCAACAATGAAACGGTTGGCAATCTCCAGTCTCCACCGGTCAAGGACAGATTAAGGTACTTTTTCAAAGTCTTTATGGTTGAAGGTTTTCGATGGCATATGGTATCTAAATTTTTGATGTAATTAAATATCAAGTTCACAAACGACATCTAAAAAACCATAGGTGCGCAGGTTTTAAGAGCTTATTCGAGGTCTCCGTGCTTACGCAGTTAAGCATGGAAGAATTAAGATCACTTGATTGCTTAAATCACATGTTTATCAAGAATTTTAAAGCAAAGAAAACAGTCAAAAAAATCATTATCTCTTATAAATGAAAATGTTTTGGAATCCAG